GCTCTATAATAATTCGATGATCAATATTATTGATATCGATTAAAATCTCTTTTATTATCCCCCCCCCCATCAGAAATATATATTGCGAAAAATATCACCTCAGGGATCTGGAACCTGGATCGCCTGCTTTCCGAACAGGCATCTTATCCACTAGACCACTGAGGCTATGATAATATTTATCGCAATATTTAGATAAGTCGCACGTCTTTTTCAGCCGACGTGCGAATAAACAATACATAGGTATAGGCCGAGTACATGTTAACTAACAAACTACAACGAATGAAACATGGTATTTCCTCAGTAAGCAGGTAATATAATTAATTGAATTTATTTCATATTAAAAAAAGACTTTAGCAACCAAGATCCTGCTTATCGAGGAAATGTCATGTTTCGCGTTGTAGTTTTTTCTATATCTATGTATTGTTTATGTAAAAAAATATGTATTTTATTATCCGGATATATAATAAAACACGCGAATAGTATTTTCTTTTTTTTTCTTTTTAATCATAACAAATATACAAATATATTTCAAAAACGTTCTAAGAAAAACAATCCTGTTGTAAAATATCCTTGACAATTACGTCAAGACCATTGTATCCTCTCAATCCCACTTTTGCGCCAGCAACGTAGCACGCAAATCTGATAGTTTTTTGTAAAACGGTTTCAGTAATAAATTTTGTTCGACGGTATTCTAGATCTTTTATATCCAAATTTTCTTCAACATCTGGTCCAATCGTGTTATTATTCGAAGTATCGTTCTTCGATCGGTTCAGTTCGTTATTCGCGCGATCCGTTTGATCTTTATATTCGCGTATCAATTCTATTTTGCTTTTATTCAAATAGTACAGAGCAGCCGCATTGAACGTATCACCCGCACCTAAGGTATCGATTACTCTTCGTGGAGGGAAAGCTGTCGATCGTATCGTCACACCGCACGGAGTACAAGCGATCGCGCCATCCTCAGCCCAAGCACAAATAATGGTTGCTCTGAAAGGATTCAATCCATTACGTCACAATATCTCGTTAATGTATCTTTTATATTTGTAAATGCGCAGTAAAAAACGCAATTTAATTTACATATCTCTTACTTGGCACTTTGGCCGATGTTACGTATTATCTCATTCATATTGTTAAAACCCAAGGACCCGGCGAATTCTTTCGCTATGAAAGCTACATCTACATAGGGCAATAAATCCAATAACCTCGGGCCTGCCCTAGGACTCTCGAATTCTACGCTAATCGTAATTGGCACGCGATCATCCGTAGCATGATCGTGCGTACAATTTAACGAATCATTATAATCTCTTATACGCTTGATCATAAGTAGGACTTGATCGACATTTCTTCCCTAAAAGCACAGAAAATGATTCTAAGTCGTTTCTCAAGACAGATTCTCCATGTTAGGAAAAATACCTCAAAATGAATCCAGCTGTATTCCTCTAAATTTAACAGCTCAAAATTTTTGAAAGTCAACTCCGGTAAACCTCGATCGTGATATACAATCGTGCGAGATCCGGTGCTCGAATTCAATATAATGGTTGCAACAGGACAGCCAGTGCCTTCAATCATGGGGCAATGGGAATAGTCAATTTTATATCCGCGTAGATCATTTCGTATGAAGTCAACATGCTCATCTCCGCTTAAGCAAGCCATAAGTTCGCACGGTTGCCCTATCAACGATAGTACGGTACAAGTGTTGGACGCATTGCCTCCTCTTTGCCATCTATAATCGGTAGATCTGAAAATTATATTTACAATAATTAAAAATTAGAAACGAAAAACTTGTAACAATCCGAAATCGTAAATTATCTTTATAGAATTATAATTTGAACAAACACAAGTGACAAAATTATGAAAATCATAACACCTCAAAACAAGTGTATCAACTTTATAAAAGATAAACGCTCGATAATGTTTCATATATCTATTTCTGAAAGAATTAATGAAACAAAGTCTCGCAATATTTGTAGGATTTATATCATACATATTTCGATACGTTAAAATTAGTTAAAAAAAAAAACATCTTTGTAACACGTATATAAGTTAACGTAAAACAAAGTAAAATTAATATAAAATAAATGTAAAGATTGAAGACTGTCGATCGATAAAGCGATAATAAGATTATAAATTCTATAATTAAGTCGGATTTATAGTTATATGATATTTTGACCCATTTATCTTTTTTTTTTTTTAAACAAAGGTAAAATAATAATTTTTTTTCAATTATACATGTCGAAATGTTTATTCATAAAAATTAATAAATTCAAAAAATTTATAATTGGAATTAATTAAGTATTTAGTAATTTTTTTCCTTCTTTTATTTATACGTCAACAAGATATATCAGCTGTCGTATTTAAATATTCGAAATTAATAATGAAAATATGAAAAATTGAAAAAATAATTGAGAAGAAAAAATGCTACGATTAAAATAGAAGTTGGGATTATGCTGCTGCTATATTACCAAGCTGAATTTCGATCGAAACTATCACAATAATACGAATAAATGTTATGGTATATGAATACGCACGATCGATGAGAGGATCAATTTTCTGTAGAGCTTGTGTAGAGAAGTTTAAATTTATTAAATATAGGAATCGATGAAGTCATTAGTATCGAGTGAGTTACTAACCTTTGAGTGGAATCTTCCGAGGGAAAGTGAATGCATGTTTGAACAATGTCAAGGCAAACGCGTCCTACGCACAAAATTTTTAACAAGCGAGTGTTCGTTGATGGGTCTCCATGAAAGATATTTTGGTGAAAATTCGATGTCATAATTAAGATCTAAATACTAGAGAGATAGAGAGATTATGGAGTCTATACTTTAACGTCTCGTTTCGTTTCCATCGTTGTTATCGCGGAGTTTTATATCACAGATTTAAATATTTACAAAGGTTAATGGAGAGATTGAAGTTATCACAAGAGCTGAGTTTATCGAGTTCAAGATGGAGTTGTGGCGTTGCGATTGTCTATTTTGGCGCGTGAAATTCGAGTTCTTAATTT